AACATGTCGTTGAGTTAAACAATTTAATATCGACGTCTAAGTTACCTGAAATTGCTGACATCTATAGTGAAGGCGAAGTGCATAATGCGCATTTAATGATAATGAAGTTTGATTTCACGGAAAGTCCGTGTCCCACAGCCTTTGATCTAACAAAAGACCCATGCATCTTACACATGCCCTACGAAGAAGAAGTACTCGTGCTAGAGCATACATCGCCAACGCAAGGCAATCCGTACGAACGATTTATGATCACATTCAAATATGTGCCGATGACTGGCGGGCGTACTCCGAACTCGTTCATTTGGGAGCGATCCCGTTTAGAATGATTGAATAGTGGAAATTTCATTGAGTTTTGAGGATGTTTCAAAATTGATCTCGCTGCGATATATTAAAATACTTAACTGTATTCACTTATCGAGGAAGACGCTTCAACTGTCGAACTACTTCTGTTCGACTGATACGTAATTGACGGTACTGGATGCGCTCCTTCTTTTCGCTGCTGGTCGGATGTTTGTTTATCAGTACTGAGGTGGTCTATTGTGTGCATTATCACTCATGCATTGCCGTGTGCTGCACTACTTTCTCTCTCTTACCATTGTTGCGTGTGTAGATATTCCTATGTCTAAACGTCGCCACTATGATTGTCTGTCCAAAAATTTGAACAAAGAACTATGCGAAATTTTTACTACGTGCATTTTGTAGAAAATTCAATTCTCTGTAAAATTCATATAAAACTTCTCTTCCAAAAGTATCACGTCAGGGTAGAGCCCGGTGGAATCGGGAGTGGAGGGAAAAGATTTACGAGATCGGAATGAAGCTTACGGGACGGGATCGGGATTTTCGTTCTACATATATATAAAAAACAGAATGTATATATCTAATCAACCATATAGACATCAGCTGAATTTTTATTCAACGAAAAGAGAGAAAGAAAACTGAAAAATATTATCATCGGTGGCCATTTTTGGCAGCTGTTATTGACAGGTCACTTACTTACTATTACACTAGCAATTTTCACTTGTTAAACAGTCAAAACGATGTCATGGGTCTATTCCTCTTTCTTCTGCTGTTCTTTATTTACTCAATGAAAGTTCTTTTCTTTTTCCTCTTTTGACAAATAAAGCTTAAACTGACAGGTCACTTCTAACTACGTTTGGTACGAATTAGACTGGCATGCAACATATTTCAACAACTGTTGTAATATTCAAGTATTAGTTTTTCAGAGAAAAATCTTAATATCATTGTTTGCGATACCACGTTTTTTCTGTGACCTTTTAGATTTGTTTCTATTATTTTCTTTGGAGTATAACCAACGGGGAAACAGCAGACTCTTGGACTCCTAAAGTCTAGAAGTTCGTAGAAGTGTTGCTATTGTATGAAAACCTATTACCATGTATCGACAATTAATACAACATCTCTAATAACATTGTCCATAGTTCCTATATCGGCAAAGCTTTAAAGGACGGGGACGATTATTTGATGGAATCGGCCCCTGCTTGAATTCCATCGACACATACATGGTTAGATGCAGAATGAACAGGAGAACATTTTTTTTCTAAGCAGTTGAATTCTTATTTAAAAAAGAATACAGCAAATCGGGCTTTCTTCCATTACATTCTGTCAAAAGTAAAATTTAAAAAAAGGTAAGAAAAAAAAAGTAAAAAGATAGAAGAAAAATTCTTGAACAGTAGAGAAAAGTGTTCCTATGCGTCAAATAGAGTCACTTGGTGTTGATAGTGACGTTAAAGCAATCAAACAGGAGAACACTTCTAGCCAATTGGCAGACCCTAGAAATGCTCTGAGAAAAAACTAGGTCGAATTTGCTGAAACCAAAGTTCTACTCTTCTTTGTTCAACGAAGACGGTCCTGTGGTCCACACTTGTCGACTAGCCACGACGATACATATACCATTCGATAGAGAATTTCCCGCGCTACGATTTCATGTATATAAAATAGTGACAAAAGTGCCGTAGGGCATCTTAACATTATAAATACTTTTTGCGAAACCGTGACAAGTGGGTGACCCTTCAACGGTGCGGAGCCTATGATCAACGTTTCCCAACTAGCCACTACGATAGATATACCATTCAATAGAGAATTTCAGAGCTTCAAAATGATATATAAATAAGTCGTTTAGAAATATGCCCTCATCGGTCAATAGTTGAAATATTTCTGCGATATAATGACTTTGACCTTTCTTAGTGCTTTCAACACTCCGTTAGTCGTTTTTCTGACATAATGAAAATTATGTATTGTTCGAAAACATACCACTGGATAGCCTTTCAAATTCTCTATAAAGTGAGCTACTCACAATATCCAGACAGGTGCGGTCAGCCATTAAAAATATGGAACAGAAGCTTTGGGGTGATATCTAAGCACTACAGTGTGTCATAATCATAACAACTCTCTTGTTTTTAACCTTTGAGTAAAAGCTGGAACTAATCTAGATAATGTTTTGAATAGCACGAAGATTTTTCTATCAGGTTAGGTGCATATAGACCTTTCATGAGAAAACTTAATAAAAGAGCTTTTGGAAAACCTGACCGCTGAAAACCCAAGTCCTTAGATGTTAGTGAGAAAATTTTGCAAACCATATAGCCGGATGGAGCGAAACATTCTGAGCAAAATAAGACTTCTCCCGGCATTTTATAGTGCTTTTTCACCGGAATGTTTTGGTAACTTTCACGCCCCTTGTGGCTAGGGATAAATCGACTGCTGTTGCGCGAAAACGTGCAATTTCGACGAATTTTTGGTAATTACTGAGAAATTACTGAAATTTCCATTATTTATTAGATCCATTAGAATTGGGATCCCTGTCTCCTACAATATGAAAAGTTTTTGAAATTTCGGCAATTTCGACGAAATATTGGTAATTACTGCCAAATTTCCGAAACTTCTATCATTTATTAGACAAAGATATCCATTAGAGCAGGCACCCCTATCTTCGAAAATAAGAGAATTTTCGGAAATTTTGGTAATTTCGAGGAAATTTTTACAATTACTGTTAAGTTTCTCAGGGTTCTGTTATTTATCAAGTAGAGATATCGATTAGAATTGGGATCCGTATCTCCGACAATAGGAGAATTTTTGGACATTTTTGTAATTACTGTTAAGTTTCTGAAATTTCTATTATTCATCAGGTAGAGATATCTATTAGAATAGGCACCCCTCTCGTCGAAAATAAGGGAATTTATAGAAATTTCGGTAATTTCGAGGAAATTTTGGGATTACTTTAATCGATATAGATATGCAAATAAATATGTGAGACGAGGGATCCCTACCCCCAGAAGTTTGCGAATTTTAAGAAATTTCAGTAATTTCCACGTAATTTTGGTAGTTACTGGGAAATTACTGGAATTTCTATTAACTAGTATATAGAGATATTCGTTACATTTGCGACCCCTATTTCCGAAAATATTTAATATATTAATTAATTATTAATAATAATTAATCCTAATTTAAAACATTAATTTCGGAAATTTCTGTCGTTTATCAGACAGAGATATCCATTAGAATAGGCATCCCTATCTTGAAAAATAAGAGAATTTATACAAATTTCGGTAGTTTTAAGGAGATTTTGGTACTTACTGAGAAATTACTGAAATTTCTATTATTTATTAGATAGAAATATTCAATATAGATAATAAGAGATACACAACCTTTTTCATCATGAAAATCGACTATTTTCTGTTTGAGACGTTTCGTCTTTATTCAAAAGAAGACGAAATCAATTCTTCACCTTACAAAATGACTCAATTAGAAATATTCATTGGAATAGGGACCCCTAACTCCCTCAAACTATAATAAAATCCGACTGTCTACACAATGACGAATATAATTTCTCTATCTACTGAACTTGTTCCTAATTTCATAACTTTTATTTTATTTACTATCTCTATCTAATAAACACAAGAAATTATAGAAATTTACGAGTAAATTATCAAAGTTTCCTCCAAATTACCGTAATTTCTAAAAGTTGTCCTGTTTTCGAAGGTAGGGGTGCCTGTTCGAATGGATATCTCTATGTAATAAACAATAGAAATTTCAGTAATTTCCTGGTAATTACCGTATCGGTATCATTTAGTTTACAGAAAGTGTGGGAAATTTTGGGTAATTACTGTAATAGACTTTGGAAGTTTACGAAAATTTCTTTTGCGTGATGAAGTATTTCCTGAATGTGTATGGAAGATTTCTGCTGATGTTGTGATAATTTTCGGAAGTTTCCTTTTATTTGCTGTTTCGAGTATTTTGCGGAATCGCGTAACCTTTTACTTTGGTGATAAAATTCTTAGTAATTAGTTTCGAAAATGTTTGCAATTTCGGAAATTACTGAGAAATTTTCTTTTTCGTTAGTGGATAGTTACCAAAATTTCTAGGGAATGTGATTTTGAGAAAGTAGTGAATCTAGGTAATTTCTGGTAAATTTCTGTATTTGGTTCATGGATGAATTTGTATTGTATGTTGGAATATATGGTAATTTCGGTATTTTCTCATTTTATTGTTTTTGCATTGTCGAAATTTCTGAAATTGCTTTATTTATGAGGGAAATTTCCTTTTCTGGAAATTTGAACACTGCTGCCTAAACTGCAAATCAAATAAAAACTTCGAAATACACATCACTCGACTCAGTTTCTCATCCTAATCCCGAATATAATATTTTTATTACTCAAAAGTTGAGTTCTGATAGAGAAAAGTGAGAGTTACGAGTAGAACTCCGACGTTTACGCTTCTGGTTTATCGAAAAAAGGAATTTCTCAGCAACGAAATAAAAGTTTTAAAAAGGCAGTGATACTTTTAAAGCAAGTTCCAGCATCTAATCATATGCAAATGAGGGCTCGCAAAATTCGAAGTATTTCAAATTTGAGTGATTTTCGAGCTTTTGTGGTGTATCGAGTTTTTTCGATTTTTCAAAACGAAAACTAAGTTTTGAAACATTGTATCTAGATACATTTTCTTAATCAGCACAAAAAACTATGTCGAGCAGTGTATAATAAATTGAAAAAAATTTTTCCCAGTTTTTGCATTACGCGTATCTTATATATATTTGTAAGTTCTCATATAAAGTCATATTCTGATAATGATGTGAGTTTAGGCATTAACAACTCGATGTAACAAATGATTTTTGAATAGAATCTAAACAATTATGTATGTTGTAGCAGTGTTATACCTTCTTCTTTCACAATACCAAGTTGTTTTAATTCTCGAGGGCAAGCCGATTTCAAATCAACAAGCTGTTTAATTGGGAGATCATTTTATAATTTATTGTATTGATAAGCAAATCTGATTATAACATCATTGTTTGCTTTTCTTTTTTTCAAAAACTAAACAAAGTAAAAGTTTTGCGTCTGCATTTGTATGATCGACTATGTGAATTTGAACTTCCACACAGTCATTTACAATAAACTTTTCTCTTAATTTATTTACTTAATCGTGATGTAATTTCATTTTTTATGTCTGGTATCTAACCAATTATTGTTAGGACTTTTACGTTCAAGATCATAATGGGATGACTAGAAGAACATGTGAAATGATTATTATTTGTGAAACTAGCAATGAATTAGATAACGAAGCCTGCATGGATGAAGAACGATCAAGAGAAAAAGTGCTTGGGTGGGAAGCTAGAACATCAGTATCTGAGCATGAAATACAACTTGGAGAGGTGATTTCATTTATAATACTTATTGCAGACTGTGTACGAGGCTCAGATATAGTTGAAGATGAAGAATTTGATGAAATCTGGTGTTTGATGCTTCTAAAAGATGCTCTTTCTTTTGTTTATTCTAAAAAGTTGTACAATGATCGGGAGAAGAACTTCCAGAAAATTGGTTTTCAACCGGCAGATAAGAATAAAGAAGAACTAGCAGACAAAAGACGGAAAGAAGTAGATTGTGAAGAAGAATGTAAAATGATCCGCTGATCTGATTACAGTACACCGAGATAAAATTGTGTCATTTGAAAGGCTATTACATTGTGAAAATATTACGACAATTCTCAGATGACGACTAGCTACCTGGTAGACAGGTTGTGCCAATTGCAAATATATGTAGATTTGTATTAACAGGCAATGTAATTGTCTGAATTGTTTTTGTTGGATTAATTGCAAATCCTGAATAATAAATGCTAACTTGATGATTGCCCGGAGTACACACACCATTACTGCATGTATTCCAAGTTGTCGTCGCTAGTATGTCTGTTCCACTTGCGGGACTATTACTATACCAATCATTAAATGTTAATCGAAATGTTTGTGTAGCACTGTCATTGTATGTAACAATAACGGATCCACCTTGTTCTCCAGGAGCACCAGCACCCAAGAATCCTAGAGTACAGCCCATTAAACCAGTCGTGTTAATCACTTGTCCATTTGCCTTAACATTGTTATTTGTACCCGGAGCACTGCTTGGCCATACAAAGTAAACGCCATTATGTTGAATAGTTGCTCCAGGTGTTATGTTAACGGCAGCAAGTGCCTGAGCAGAATAACTGTCATGAGTGCCGTCGAAATCAGCCGTATGATTAGTATCACTTGTACCGATGTTATTATAAAATTGTGAAAGAGCTGTACTTGCTGCATTACTCGTACATTTCAATCCACCTAAAATAGTTTTAGACAACATTTTATCTTCTGTTTACGGGCATGATAGACTTTATTTCGACCGCATAAAATGTTTCCGTATATTTTTTACTTTGGCAGTTTCCGACTGTTCCATTGTCTGTAAACTCTGACCGACAAAAGATGGAAAGAAGTAGATTGTGAAGAAGAATGTAAAATGATCCGCTGATCTGATTACAGTACACCGAGATAAAATTGTGTCATTTGAAAGGCTATTACATTGTGAAAATATTACTACAATTCTCAGATGACGACTAGCTACCTGGTAGACAGGTTGTGCCAATTGCAAATATATGTAGCTTTTCACGAACAGGCAATGTAATTGTTTGAATTGTTTTTGTTGGATTAATTACAAATGCTGAAAAATAAATGCTAACGTTTTGATTGCCCGGAGTACACACACCATTAGCGCATTTATTCAAAAGTGTCGTCGCTAGTATGTCTGTCCCATCTGAGGGCGTATTAAAAAACCAATCATTAAGTGTTAATTGAAATGTTTGTGTAGCACTGTCATTGTATGTAACCATAATGGCTCCATTTTGTGGTCCATTAGTACCAGCACCCAAGAATCCTAGAGTACAGCCCGTCGTACCAGTCGTGTTAATCACTTGTCCATTTGCCTGAACATTGTTATTTGTACCCGGAGCACTGCTTGGCCACACAAAGTGAACGCCATTATGTTGAATAGTTGCTCCAGGTGTTATGTTAACGGCAGCAAGTGCCTGAGCAGAATAACTATTACTATCGCCGTCGAAATTAGCGGTATGATTAGTATCACTTGTACCAATGTTATTATAAAATTGTGGAAGAGCTGTTATTGCATTATTCGGACATGTTAACGTATCTAAAATATTTGACAACAGAGCACAAAAATGTGGACTTTTATATTTGAAAATAAATAGAAAATAGTACCTGAAAGGGCCTGCAGCGTGACAAAAACATACTCATTAAACCTTTATAGCTGAACTGTAGCCTGTGTTGTAGCCCGTGAAATCCTCTGTCAAATGAGCTTGAATTTTTTTTGTTGAGTCACTATTTTGCAAATGGAATAGTGAGCTGTTACAGCAGACTAAATTAACATTAATTGGTTATTAACAGGAAGAAAAGACCAAACATTTTTTTCTTTGGCCAAGGAGCTTTTTAATAGTAGTGCTGTGCTAAAAGATTTATCAGAATTTACGTTATTTTTAGTGTTTAGCAACTCAACACATGTAGAATAGACATTCTTACAGTTGGAAAACGGATAGATGTGGTATTGCATGGTGATATTTGTGAAAATTTTACAGTTTCTTCATATAAT